AAGAAGCATAAGGATTCCAGGAGTCAACATAGAAAGAGATGGCGAACGAAGAAAAGAGGAGGAAGTTTGATGGCGGAACATGGATTGCAACAATTCTTGATTGCGTTTAAGCAGTGCAGCTATTCGAGCGCGGGTGTTGGAGATTTCTGTTTGAGCGTCGGTGTGGTCACTATCCGGGGACAATGCGGGGTTCCGATCGGCGTCGAAAGAAGGTGTTGAGTTTAGAAAAGTCATCATTTTTCCTCCTGGTTGCCTCGTGGGACGGAAGGGTGTGTTCTGCGACGGATTCATATTGCGTGGAGAAGGGCATTGTCGCGAAAAGTGACCGCGCCCTCCACAGTTGAAACAGCGATTGTTAGAGCCGTACTGTTGTGGTGGACGCGAGGTCCCTCTGGGCTTATTAACCCTTTGCTGTCTCGAGGTGAATCGGTTGGTGTATTGCCCCTGTGGGGTGCGAAAACGTGAACGCCGGTTAGGTTCAAAATCCATGCGGGCTACCTGTACGGACAGTGCCTGAACCTGTTGATTGTCGGTATGAGTGGCGGGGTGCATTAAACAATCAACAGCAGCCTCTGCAAGAAGCTGCTCGACCATCTGAGCACGCTCGACCGCCTGCTCAAAAGTAGTAGGATTGTCTAAGCGCACGAAATAGCGGATGTCACCTCGCAGGCGTGCCAGGTATTCCTCAGTATGCGTTCTTTCTGGGCGTTGGGGTCCTGTCCCGTGGTAGCAGCCCTTACCAGGTTGCGAAGGCGATCTGCGAAGGCTGTGGTTGACTCGGATAGTCCTTGCTGACACGTGAGAGAGCTTGGCGAGCCAGATGTCTTTGCTGTGGACTTTCGAAAAATGACCGCAAGTGGGTTACAAGGGTGTTGTAGTTTTTGCGCTGGATTTCTGGCAGTTCATCTACTTTTTCGCGCGCCGCCCCGTTTAGATATACTATCAGGAAGTTGACTTTTGCTCTTCAGTTAATGGGGTTCCACGCATGCGTAAGACGTCTTCAAAGCGGCGGAGCCAAAAAGAGAACTGTGGGGAATCACTACTGCCAGTGAAAAGTTGTAGCTTAGGAAAAGCTTTATCGGGGAAACAGGATGCTAGAACAGGTTGCGCCTGGGAGCGTTCCCCCACCGCCGCGAACGAGGTGTTCAGTTCGCGAAGCAAGCTAACGTTGTTGGCTGAGATCTGTTGAGGCAACTATTCCGTGTAAAGGTGGGCATCATGCCAGACCTCCGTCACAGCCGTAGCTGTAGCGTCCCGGAGCTCCTTTGCATCCCGCCCCAATACCGGGTCATCGTCTCCCAAATCAATCAGGACGGACTGCAGCTCCTCGGTGAACTTAGGTGCCACAGGGATTGACT